ATTGACTTAGCAGATGGACATATAGCAGCGTTGCGCAAGCTTGATGAATCTGGTATCGGTATGTCATCTGGTGCTTTCACTCTATGTCAGTTAATTGCAAAGCTACCCATCCTTGGTTCTTCTTTGATTGTGGGATGGGATAAATCTACCTGTGTTATTTCAGTTTCTGATGTATTGTGAATTGTGGATATCTTGTCCTGATATTCATCATCAATTGATCTATAAAAACAATGAATGTGCATTTGACGACTATGAGAGACACGTTCTCTTTGATTATCCGTGCTGGAGAAGCATTTGTCTGCTCATTTTGTGTTTTGACAATAGTCAGACAATGAAGTCATGTTTGTTTTCAGCTGCAGTATCTTTTTGGATTTTCCGTCAGATATTGCGGTCTATGTACTATTTTAATTGTTTCAAGTGTACTTATTGGCAAAATAATTTAGTGTGCTAGTTTGTAACCCACCAATCAGAACCTGGTTGGAGAGGTTGGAGGAAACTCCCTCCAACCGGAGATGGAAGCAAACATAGCTCCTCTATATTATCTTTTGATAGTTCATGAGGAACTTCTGGAAGCAGAGCTTGATAATGTGTTTATGATCGACATCTATTTGCAGGTTGCGAAGTGTACAACTTAGGAACAGGTAAAGGAACATCAGTTTTGGAGATGGTTGCTGCATTTGAAAAGGCATCTGGAAAGGTACTTTTTTCATCCAAGCTCTGTTGTAGTACTCCTTAATTGAATTGCGCTAAAGCATGCCGAAAGAAGACAGATCGCATATGCCAATAAAATGTGCTATCCATGGTACGGAAGGCTTATTGACCTTATTCACCGACTTAGCATTCGAATGACTCGACAACAAAGCCAACTACTTCATTTTTGTGTATTTGTCCTGTGGAAGGTTCTGAAGTTTTTATCTCGAGCCTTGATCAAGTGGTTGACTTTCACTGTAAAGTTTCTGATTATTCCTTGTGACGAATTCATTCTGGGAGATTTTAAAGTTTGGGAAAGACGTCTCAAAGCTAATAAAAATTTACCATGTGAGACTGAAGGGGGATGATGGGCAATATGTGAAAATGTTACCTGAGTGCCATGGCACTTAATATATCATCTTTTGTGTAATAGCGTGGGGGTTATTCTTTTTCCAGGAAATTCCTCTTGTGATAGCTGGAAGACGACCTGGCGATGCAGAAATTGTGTATGCTTCAACAGAGAAAGCTGAGCGCGAATTGAATTGGAAGTAAGGGCTGATTCACCTGACCACTGTATCATTTATTGTCCTGCATTACATGGATGAAACACATTGCATTGATGATCTTACTAGCATCACTTTCATAAGAATTGTGCTTCTCATTAAACCTGGTTTCATCTATTGTTAAAAATCAGTATTGATTCTGATTTTTGTATGTTAATGTCTGTGCAGGGCCAACTATGGGATTGAAGAGATGTGTCGGGATCAATGGAACTGGGCCAGCCAAAACCCTTATGGCTATGGATCTCCTGAGACATCAGATTGAAAGCTGAGATTACTCCTATGACCTGTCTTTTAGATTTACTTTGATTGTTTACCCTAGAGACCTTTGTAGGTAGATTCTCCCCAATAATCTACGAAAGTTGTATTGCTCCTTTTCACCTACATCTCGAGTTCAGTGGGCTGTATAGTCTACTGAATGAACTTTAACAAAACTGACGTGCCTTGTTATTTATGCGGGGAAAGTGCAGTGCATACTTTCTTTACGGCATCATGCGTTCTTGCGACTGGCTTCACTCTCTTGACATTGTCAAGTTCCATCGGGAACAAATTGGTGAGGCTAACGCATGAGATTTTGAACTGAAGTTTCCGAACCTGGTCCCTGTAACACTGTTTTTAACATCAGCCTGATCGAATGAAAGTTACCTCATCAGATTTCTCGTATTCTTGGCTCTGCTTTGAATGAGCAATGACTAATGTCCATGTTTAAAGTCCTCTTCAGCTTTTCTTTCTCTTGTAAAGCTTTAAGTGACTGGAATAATTTTCTGCAATCTGATTTCACATGTAAGGCCCCGGTCATGCTCGGTTCATGAGTTTGATTCTTTCATGGGATATAGGGGGACCAGTGCACTTACCATGCTAAGATTAGGTGAGTCCAAAATGACTCTGGAAGGAGAGAGGCTTAGGAAAAGCTTCATTTGGAAATAATTAGGAGATCAAAGATAAATTCCCTTCATTTCATAGGCAATGCGGACTGCTGAAGCGGGCTCACGGTTTCCGTCCCGATTTTGCATTCACGGCACTCAATTACGCGTGTTAGTGTCCGACCGAGCCATGTCTTGGGCCGGGATTCTCGACATGATCCATTTGCGGTTAATTGATGCCCGCAAAATCCTCCCTAACTCAGAAGAACCAAATGCATCTAGACATGCATCCTCTGCGTGACAAATAGTCAACTCCTTATCCCACCGACTCCATAGAATCTTCTCTGGCCTTTTGAGTTTTTTTATCAAGCACCGCCGTGGCCAATCTTTTGAGCCTCACATGACCCACGGAGATTAACCGTGATCGACACTAAAAGGGCTATAACTCGTTTCTCAGCTTCCTAGCATCTTCATTTATAGCAACGCCCACAAAACACCAGCGGAGTTCCCAAGAAATACTCATAGTCATGAAGGCATACATCTTGCATCAGGAAGTTAGAATACGATACGATTGCAACCAAATCAGAGTTGGCAAGGCGCAACCGGGTCAGCGACCTCGCGCTGTAAATTCGGACGGCCTTCGACTCCGAGGCTGATGTTGAGTTTATCGAGTCGATAATGGTCGATGTGCCACACCTCATTGATCTTACGATTATAGTGGATGGTTCGTTTGGGACGCATGTGTCGATTTCCTCATCTTAGAAAGTGATTCTGTGACGAGAGAACATCTTACCTTATATCGACGATGGACGAAATAAGAAGTCAAAATATTTACAATAATCTGTAGGTAATACAAGAAAATTGAATAGAAGCTATGTTTATTAAACTTACACCCACCACGTATTTTGTGGATGATGAACAAATTTGAGACTAAAATCGATTAACGGATCGAATCTTGAAGATTTGCCCGTAAAATAAATATCCAAAAACGATCATATTTGAATACTTTTAGATTGCATGAGTCATTTTGTAGATTCAAACGTGGAGGAAACAAACTGATAAACTTAATTTTCTCGACCATTTATTTTTTGGGTACGTTAATTGAGATCTTTTAGATTGCACGAGTACTATTCAATTCCTTATAGCAGATAAAGGGATACTTATTTCTTTTTGAATAATATGCTTAGGCTCCACTTGTTTTGTTGAAAATGAGTGATTTGGAAAATATTTTCCTAAACATGATCGCTTATATCGATGCAAGAATGAATGAACGAACGACCGACAAATATTTTCGTCGTTGACAAAAATATTTATACATAAATTGTTGTCGATGATGAAAAAAATTCTATTGGATAATTTTTAAGCGACACAATCAATCACTTTTAGGAAATTTTCTTTTAATCATTTTTTACGAAACAATTGGAGCCGTGGAAGTTTTATGTCCTGCATACTTGCATAATACGACATTGTCATTATTTTGTGGAATGATGAATTCATTTCTCGTTTCACCATTTTTTTTGGGTTTTTCAAATGTGGAAATAGGTGTGTCCGGACACTGCAGCTCAACACCATAACCTAAAAGCTCAATCTCAATTTCCAAAGAACAAAAAGCTCCTCCGAACCATCCCGAATACTCCAATCTTACCATACCCAACTTAACAGTATATGCATATGATTTAACTCGACTCTAGTAAAATTCATGAAAGGCAATTGCGGGCGGTCATTATTGATTTATATAATTTAACTTGGTAATAGTAAGATTGGTCATGTTCGAGTCGAGCTAATGCTTTTATTTTGGAATAAGTGCACTGAAAATCCGATAACTTTCAAAAAATGAGATCAAGTCCTAAAACTTGTCACGAAATTATAATCGACTCCTAAAACTTTTAAAAAGTGCAATCGAGTCCTAAATTTTCGAAAAGTGTAATCAACAGAAAGACTTTATTGGACCAACTTTTAGGACTCAATTACACTCTCGTGACAAATTTTAAAATTTAATTATACTTTTTAAAAATTTTAAAATTTAATTATACTTTCGTGATAAGTCTAAGTACTTCCAACACACTTATCCGTCTATTTTGGGTTTTGCAATTGCTTTGCTTTACAAGTGTGATAAATTGGGAATAAATTTTAGGGAACGAGGGTTGGATATCGGAGGGGAGCCCCCCCCCCAATTAATCAACTCAGAGGGCACGTACTTTGAGAGAAACGTTTCCCCGCCCCTGCTTTTCCCCACCCGCTCTTGCCAGCTATCGGATTGGACAGACACTGGGAAATTTTGTGCACGAAGCCAATGAAAACCCAACAAATCTCCCATGGGAAAACCCTTCGGTGTCCATTATAAATACGACTTTCTGATTACGGATTTGGTTTCCCTTAAGATAATCGTTACCTTACCAACATTCAGTCTGCAATGTCCGATTGCAAAGCCTACGAATTTGTCGCTTAAGTTTCGAGTGAATCGCGTGTTCCTGTCGTTGAATTTAAGCCGTGATCGGGGGGAGCATATACCGCGATTACAATTTTCTTCCTTTTGGCAAATGGGCATCGTGGCTTTACTTACAACCCAATTAATCTCCCCTGATTAACAAAAGCTAAAGCCAAAAGGCCCAAAACTCATCATCGCTCATCCTTAATTCCTGGCTTTTCTCGTTCGCTTTATCACCACCCCGCACCACCTCCCTTTCCTCTCTTTCCCCTCCAGCAGCAGCAGCAGCAGCAGCGGCACCATACAATGACACGACCAAAAGGAATCAACCTCAAAGTGAGATTTCACTCAAAACCGCAATCAACTCTCCATAGTTCCTCACATACAGAACAACTTCATCGTATTAATTTACAGAAAGAGAAAGAAAGAAAGAAAAGATAATGCTAATAACCGCAGCCAAGTCCAAAGCTAAGAGCTAATCTCCATTTCAGGCAGGACAGTTCCAAGAAAAAGTTTGAATATTTTACACTTACGTTTCCTCGAAAATGGGTCAGAGGGCAAACGCAAATTTGAACACCCCCCTCCCCAGATGCAAGAAAGGCCCTAATGAATTCTAACCCAAAAAAGAAGGTGAAAAGAGAGAGAGAGAGAAGAAAAAACAAGAAGCTAAGATCTAACCGACAAATGTAACCTCGGTAGAACAAAAGAGAGGGAGAGACAAGAACAGAGGGAAAGATATTCAGCAGTGGAAACCCAGCACGGATCCGTCGCTCACCGCAATGGCCACCCTGCAATCCGCCCTCGCCTCCACATGGTGCGTGAAGAAGTGCAAAACCCTAACCCTCCCCGCCATCTTCATCCTCGACTCTATCTCCAGCGTCGGCCCCACCCTCAAGCCTCCGCCTCCTCCGCCCACGCCCACGCCCCCGAACCCGAACCCGGACCCGTCCGTCACCGTCGGAAGCGGCGGCGGCGCCGCTGCCGCCACGGCCGCCGCTTCCTCCTCGACCGCCGCGGACGGGTTCGGCGTCGCCGAGAGCGGGAAGGACTCGACGGCGAAGGTGGCGGCCATGTACTGCATGCGGCCCGCGGCGATCTTGCCGGCGGGGACGAACATGAAGCCGACACGGTTGCCGGCGTAGAGGAGCTGGATCGAGCTGTCGAAGTGGGAGAAGACGGCCTTGTTGGGGTTCTCCACGGACACGTACTGCGAGAAGGTGAAGTTGACGGTGTTGTTGGCGATCGAGAAGGACGGGAGCTGCACCCCATTGACGGAGATCTTGGGGTCCCGCGGCCGGAACACGGTGAAGAACACGATGAGGACGACGATGACGACGAACACGAGGAAGATCGTGGCCACCACGCACGACGCGAAGTTCGTGCGGCCGCCGGAGGAGTGCGGCGGCGGCGGTCGCGGTCGCGGTCGCGGTCCGCCGTGTGGCTTGGCCATTGTGCAGTGAGAGAGAGAGAGAGAGAGAGCAAGCTGGGAGTTTTCTGATATACTTGGAAAGGAACGGTTGGGAGTGAAGAGTGAGCAGAGCCGAGTGCGTTTGTCTGAAAGTGAGACTTTGTTTCTGTTGTTGTCTCTTTTGATTTTTTTCAACTTTGTTTTTTCAAATTTCTGTTGAAATTCTCTCTTTTGCTTTTTTCTTTTCTTCCTGGTGTTTTGTAAGCAATTTGTAAGAAGGAAATTCATACCACCTTTTGATATAATAAAAAAAAAACGGATTAAATGCATCGAAATTCTTAAAATTAGTCACGAAAGTGCAATCGAGTCTTAAAACTTTCATGGACTTAATTACACCTTTTAAAAGTTTTAGTATTCAATTATTCGTGACAAATTTTAGGACTTTCAAGGCATTTGTTTCTAAAAAATAAAACATATAAAAGATGCGCAAATAGCACATTATTAAATACACACTTTTGAATCTTTTCCATTCGACCGAAGAAGAGAAAAAATACATGATTTTTTATTCATATTCTCTCGAACTTCTTCTGTTCAACGTTTCCAAACATAAATTCCGAGCAGTCAGCTGACAGAAGGGAAAGAACAAACCGAAAGCTTCAGGCTCATGAAGAACTATATAAGCCATCCAAGCACAAACAGGAGCCGAGCCCACCCGAAAATGGGACTCGGGCTCGATTTTTAGACATACATACACATATGTACCTATATATATGAAAGCAAGAGACCGGACACATAAGTTACTTGACAAGCCCGTCGAGCCGGGAGTCCATGATCAGGGAGATGGTCTCGAGGAATGCGGCTTCACTCATTCCGGGGAGCAGACAGTCCTCGGCCTCACGGACCATGTCCTCAATCACGGACACCTTGTTCACCATCTCCCTGCACATGATGCTCCCAATGGCAAATGGGGTGAGGCCTCTTTCGACCCCTTTCTTCAGGAGCATTGTGGACACGCGGAGCGTGCGAGCGCACTCAGGTGAGATGTCCCAGCCATAGAACTTGAGGAGCGCTATGTCTTTCTCGGCATCGAGAGACTTTATGTAGTCGACCGTGTCAGGAGAGTAGGGTTGATGAGCTTGGGGCCAGTAAAGCCAGTCGAAAGTGATATCCTCAAACTGCAGAACAAGGGAACGGATGCATGTTAGGCATAGCGGAACTTGAGTTTGGCAGCAGACAAAATGAGAAGAATTCACAAGGGCTCATTCAGCAAACTTGTCAAATTGTGCCAAAACTATGACTTCACACAAAATCTAAACACCTATATGCTCCTCAAATAAATACACAAGTATGTGGAAGTTGTCTTTCACATACTCAAGGCAGCTTAGTCAATGCTACGTTTAACAGAGGAGAACAGTATAAATAAAAAGCTCGCAGCCTAGAACATTGTTTACAGGAAAAACGACCGTCATAATCTGATTCAGTCAGTCTTAGTCTTGGAGGAAAAAAATGTGAAGCACTCTGAACTATATCTTTGAAATGGTTTTCTCAAATTAGCTATGCCAGTTCTCGGGTTAAACCATTGACATGGAACCTACATACGATTGATCCTCCCAAATAGTAATCAAGCAAAGAAAATCTAATCTAGATATTCCACAAATAAGCCCTGTCCTCGAAATACCATTGGGACAATAACCACTCACATCCCATCAACACGGAACCTTCATATAAGTGGTTCTTCGTTTATCTGGTGAAAAGGAAAATGCACAGAAATCACAGGGAAACAACTCCGTTCCACATGCATCCACATAAGCTAGGGAAACTACAACTTCCTTCTTTTCTCCTCAAATTGAAATTACCGAAGTGTAAGAATCCACAGAGACCCCTTAAAAATATCCAAGAACACCATCTTATAATACAATTAACGACTCCATGGACTAAATTTGAAACAACCACGCCATAAGTTACCAATGAATAACTATATAATGAAACAGTCAGGCATATAGAAGCAGATGGAAGTTACTCACACTCTCAGGCAGGCAGTATCCATGATCAATTGGTATGAGAACAGTCCGACCCTCTTCATCCTTGCTAATCAAGATATTCCCAGAATGCCTATCAGCATTTGCCGTTCTAATATCCAGCACACTAATTTTGTGGACCTCCTCCACAGGGAAAGCCCTAGGACCCATGTCTTCACAACTTCCATAGTTATCCATAAACATTTGCAAAGACCCAGTCTTAATGTTCTTTGTCGTGCCATCATAACCATCAGGATGGTTGAACCCTTCATGCAAACACTGAACCATCACAGTTGGAGGCACACCAGCAAATCCCATTACTTCACCAGTTAAAATGTGAGGCCCACTTCTTGGATGATCTAGTATGTAGGCTGCAACTTCCCTCAGTGCTCCCTCACCGACCCTTGTCCCTCTTTTCAGACCTTCGCCATCAGATGAAACGGGCAATCCCTGAGGGTTGTTGGCAGCATTTGGCTCTTCATCAATGGGCTTGAAAACGGAAACAAGCTTGGCTCCAAGCGAGTCCTGCATAAAGTAAGTTCCTCCTGCGCCCTCACTTGACCTAATAGGTGATTTGCCACTCTCCAAGCCATCAAAAGTTGCCTTGATCATATTCCCTATGACCGAGGGCAATGTGACCCTAGGATTGCCGGTGATTGGTTCAAGTGAGAAATTTCGACCCAGTTGCGGTGGCTCCCCAGCTACAACCGCAAGCCCCCCTGAAGATTTGTCTCCATATGTTGTAGTAACATTTGGTTTGGCTGCCTCGACAGAGAGTTCGAAATCTTTCTCAACGGGCTTAGCTCTAACCTTTGCTGATTTCTGGACCAGCAAGTGGATCACAGCATCCCTATTATTACCGATGTCACTGATAAGTTTCTGGTCCTCAAGCTTCTCGCCATTGCAGAAGAGTTCTTGGCTCTCGAGATCAACAAAGCCTTTCCCTTTCTTGGCTATTCGTTGCTTGAGATAAGCCACATTCCGATGACGATCCGCGTGGAACTCAAACTCCTTCCCACTAACGGTCCTAACACTGATGACTAAAAGATCGGAAAGCCTGAGAACCAAATGCAGAACATTCCCACCCGTGACCCCATAGTCCTTAACGAGAGAATCGTGCCGCGCTAGTTCCCTGCCTCCGAACACGAGCTTCTGCTTCTTCACCACGAACCCTTTGCACGTCTGGATCCTGAGCTTCACCGAAGCAATCGAGTCCCATTCCAAGACGCGCATAGGGATCGCGGAACCCCCGACGGTGAGGTATATCAGGATCGACTCGCACGACCCGGAATCAGACGCCCTGTTATGGCAATACCCGGGGAACCTCACCGACCCGTCCCGAACCGGGCTCAAGGCGACATCGGCAGCAGACATCTTTTTATATGAAAATTCTCGCCGGCGCCGGCGCCGCCCCCCAAAGAAAACCCGCGAAAATCCCTTTCCTTCTTCGTCACCTAAACGCCTGTACACATTTACGTAACAATACTACACAAGCCCATTTCACCCTTTTACCTCCATGAGGCCCTTCAATCAAATTGATTGAAAGACCAGTACCCAGAAGAACTCTATACACGAAAATGAAAAAAAAAAGAAGAACAAAAAAAAAAGAGCCCGAAAAGATCCAAGACCAAACCCCTCCCTCACCCTCCCCCTCCCTCCAAAATGCACCTCCAATCCCCAGAAAACCCAGAAACCAAAACCCCTCCTCCTCCTCCCCGCCCCCCTCAATTCACCAACGGTGAACCGAACGGCTCAGGACCCAGAGAAGCGAAACGGACGGCGAGGACCGGCGCGAGATCAAGGCCTTTTTGCTCTCTTTTTTCCGTCCACAGAGAGAGAGAGAGAGAGAGAGCGGATTCTAACCTCGAGGGGAAAGAACCGAAGCCGAAACGAGGAGATGGGCGAGGGGTTAAATCGAGAAGCGACGAATTGGCGATGACTCGGGGGGTGGACAACAACAGCTCCTTCCAAGATTAGGGGGCCGTCGATGCCAACGGCGCGATCATTTCGCCGATATTCTCTGTTCCGATAAGGATGTCGCCGATGCGGATGAGCGTGCGAGCGAGCAAGAGAGAGCGGGAATGTAGCCGTTGGCTCTCGCGCAGATACGATCAAGCCTTTTGACCCGACGGCCATGACGGAACGTGTTTCGATTTTAAACAACAAAAAGCTTTCTCGATTTTTCTCTTCTTCTTTTTTTCTTTGGTTTATTTTTTTTTAATCCCAATTTTTTTCTTTTTTCTTTCTTTCTTTGGTTGGGGGGTGAAGAAAACGACGAGGGTTTCGATTTTCTCTTATATTTTCTTTTTTTAAACCGTTTGCTAACGGACGTTTCATTGGAGGAGCCGCTGCGAACCGCAGCTTCACGGAAGGAGGAGGAGGACAGGGAAGAGCGTCCGTCAGGCGGAAGTTACCGAAATGCCCCCCCCCCTTGGAAGTAGTTTTTCTTTTTTTTTGGGGAATTATGGCGATTTCTTTTAATCCTCTCTTCTCTTTTTCTTTTCCTTTTTTTTTTCCACTCTTTTCTTGATTCGGGGTAACGCTATTTTTAAATTAACACGCAATGCCCACGGAATTAGCTATTATTACGGGCCATTTGCAATTATCTTCGGAAAAATAATAATAAATTGAAAAGACATTTTCTTTTCGGAATATTATCCGTCTTCTCACGTTATATATATTGCAATCGATTATAATAAATGTACCATTAGAAATTTTCAAACAAGATCATGAAAAAAAAACAAATTGATTCCGTGAAAGTTTAGGTTCATTGGACCTTGTTTTAAGTGCCTTAGCTACAGAAAAGGGTCCAACTTCCACATTACACATCTTCAAAAGGTGATCCCGCTTTTGTCGCTTAATCATGCTGCTCCCTGTTTATATATTACCTGTCCTTTCCGTCTCGTAAGAATCACCTCGTCCTTTTGAACAACTCTTCAAATGGCTTTCTTGGGGGCAACAGCTAGAAGCCACTTCCTCCGGCATCCCGAGGTACGAATAATAAGAATTAATATTACGAAAAACTCTAAATTAATATATTTACGATAAATTTATTCAAAATTAATTTTTTTATATTATAAAAAATCTCAAACTGGTACATCCGTGACAAATTTACCCTCCATTAGTTTCCGTTAAATTGGATTTAATACCACGAAAAATCACAAACCGGTACACCTGTGATAAACGATGGGTAAAACCCCAAACCCGGTATACCTGTCGACTGTCACGTGTCATCAAACTCAGATGGAAACTAAATTTGTTACGGATGTATCCGTTTAGGGTTTTTTGTGATTACAAAATTAGTTTTTGGTATATTTATCACAGGTGTATCAATTTGAGGTTTTTTGTGGTATTAACCTTAGTAATGATAATAATCACCGAGTGTTTATTGTTTAGAACTCGCTAATTAACTATCATGCTTCGAGGATGACCAAAAAAAAATTTCGTTACCCATCTTCAGTAGGTAAAGCTCGAGTTAGAGATGCAAACCGAAACTCAAATGGATGTTCTCAATAGAAAAAGCTTCTTGGTGCTACGGGGTTTTTGAAATTGTATCGTGTGCCTAATTTATAAATAAATATGTTCCTTGGCTATTGAATGGAACTCGTTAATTAGAATGGAAAATATAAGTGCTCCGTAAATTTTTTATGAATGTTGCGGATGTAAACTTGGACGAGTGTGCCCATCGCGTACCGGCCTTCATTGCCCGTTGGATGTACCGACAATTACTTTTTATTTACAAGTCCCATTAACCGCTTTTTTAGTCTTTGTAGATTGCTTCAAGTTAGAGCAATTTGCACGCAGTCGATATAATTTGAACTTATGTAATTTTCAATAGGCCAACCCTAGAAGTTGAGTACTATTATTTGGATTAATACATTCTCTGATTCCATATATTAATGTTCAAAATTTTAGGAATTTGTTTGCTTAAAGATAAAAACTTCAACTGGGATTTGAGGCTTCCATTTCTTTTTTTTTCTTTCAAGGACGAGAAGGTATATAAATGTCGAGAGTCCCAAACTTTGTTAGAAAAATATAATGGACTTTTTCTTCTTTGTTAGGACAGAATGTACTTGAATCTTGAATATTGCAATTGTTGCAATTAAGTCTTGAATCTTTCTAAATCGGTACAATCAAATCACTTCAATAAATATTGTTTCACATTATCGATACAAAAAAAAAAGTCACAAAAAAGAAGTAATAATTCATTCGAATGAAATGGGTAGTGCACTATTCTAAGACGCTACGAATGGCGCAAAGTATCTTGAGATTGCTTTAAAATTATTCCAAAAAATTTTATTAAAAAGTGAATTAGATGAGTTGAGTATATTATATAGATAGGAGCCAGGTGCTTTAGGATCACTACTCGCATTCATGTCGGATCTTGTTAGCAACCGGTCCTCACGAACCTAATAACAAGTATATCCACATTAAATGGCACAATTACAATTTTAAAATCACATTTAATGTGTCCTGACCAAGTTGCTTTAAGACTCTCTTTGATATTTCTATTTTGATTTGATTATTGAACCATTCTTTTGGTGCTTATGGAGCATCGGCTAAGTCACCAAGTGAAGTGCGCGGAATTTATAGAATTGTCTTCTGTAAAGAGCTTACAAATTAACCCCTTTCCTTTTTTTTTTTTTTGATGTACCAAGATTACAAAGATAGGATTATATTTGAGACGAAGAATTATTTCATGGGCATTATACTTTGCGTCATTAAACTATTGTGCAAGAATCGCCGATATATTAATTGATAATAACCATCTCCTCTACTTTCTTCGTGACTTTGGACATTGGTTCGACAGATTTAGGGATGGTATGTATACCAATCTCGCGAGATTTTATTTTTTTCTCTTAATAATCCAGAGCTCGAGTATAGAGACTCGATTATCCGAAAGTCCATAAGATCGATTTAGCAATTAAGACATGGACTTATGCAGGGTTATTAGATGCACGACACGGGCTCAGCTCTCCTCATCACTGATTGAAAACGATTTTGTGTTCGGATCGTTCACAATAATTTCGACCCCATCATACTTTGTCCATAATTCACTTACCCCATCGCGCTTTTTCGTCCTTTTTTTATTTTTCTCTTTTCTACGGTCGGAAAAGCTTGTTCGTCTTTTAAAGAATAAAAAAGGGATGGCATGATCATCAAACTTTCCAGGGTGGGATTAATTAGGCCGATTGCTAAATGATATGCCATCGATGCAGGCTGATGTTTGCTCAAGCCTCCTCCAAGAAGGTTCCTCGAAAGAATCGATGGGGTGCAAATAGCGATTGCGATGGACAAAATGGGTTTTCGCAATAATGAACGAATCGACTTTGGTGGGCCAAAAAAGGGAGGAAAAGATAAGTTTAGGGATGCATGAAACATTGAGACTTGCATCGCAAGTTCTTGCTCCCCAGTCGTCCAATGAAAAAGGAGCTAGATATATGTGCAAAAGGCCCCTTTCGGCATGATTGCTTTTGGGGAAGTTGAATTAACTTAGATGGTCTAACTTCGAATTCAATTTTAAAGAGGGAAGAAAAGGGGCAAAGATCTGCAATGGCAGAAGCAGCAACAAGTGGGGACACGCTTTTCAATGGAAATTTGAGCACTATCATGGCCCTTCATGTGGCATATGGGGTCCTCTTCTCCATGATTGTCTTCTTTCATGGGTCCTTGCGTGATGATCTGTTTTTCTACCGTCAAGTGGCGACATCATGGAACTCTGGGACAATGAAGAGCAAGATTAATTTCCTAGAACTAGGGGAAGAGATTTCCGAATGGGTCGTATGCACGCTGAAGTGGACATTGTTGAGTATGTCTCGAGTTTTGGCCAATTGTTGAAAGGAAGATCGAAGCCCCGTTCTTTGATCAACCACTGGTAGGACCTTACCATAGAACCGTAATCCCGATTAGCTAAAACTTTTGTGTTTTTGTTGTTGCTTTACCTATTTTCTAAGATTACACATCAGAGCAGAGTGTTTCCAGATTCTTTCGATGAGTTTTTTCAGAGGAAAATAATGTTAGAAATTGTGTGAAATATTGGGTGAGTCCAACTTCAGGTTCAGAGAGACATATAGATTCAGCCTCGTACTTTCCTTGTTCATTGTGAATTTATTATTGTTGCCAATCTCCTAGTGGTCGGAGATTTCAAAACTTGGTTGAACCACGGAGTCCCGGTATTTGTTTCTTTGTTTCTCATCTAATTCTCTATCAATGTAGCGTCCCATTGCTCCAGACATTGCGCAGCAAAAATAGATATATATATATATATATATATATATATATATATATATATAATGTTTTTGTTTTTTGGTATGCTGTGGAAACTCATAAGCCAATCACTCAACCACTATAAAGTTCCATAAGTGGCATTTCGAGGATAAAACTTATGAGTAAATGGATGAATCGCTACTTTAATTACCACGGTTTCGGTAGCTTGACAATCCCAACTTTATTGTACCAAACCTCAATTTCGAAATTAAAGCTCGATGAGGAGATTAATGTATTCCTAAATTTTACCTCCTTACCAAATATATATTTATTTACTTGAATTTGCAAAGTCGACCCGATTTTAGCTCAATGAGAAATGAGGATATCTTGCTTGCTTTTGCAATAATAAAGGAGAATCTCGCTTCGGGCCACGAAGAGTTTCCTTTCACTGCTTCATACGGGTTTAAACATGCGGTCTCCCAATTCTCAAACTCTCTTCAAAATTGTCAAAATCTTCGCTATTGGCCTAATCGGCCGGTTATTCAATGGCGAAATTGAAAATATCATTCGCCGTTTTCTTGGCACACAATGGTCAAAAAAAAGAAAAAAGAAAAGGGCACCGCCAAACGAAAGTTCCGATGACGCTCCTCCTAAAGGCCGTTGGGGAAGTCGAGCGATGTGGTCGGCAAAGTTGCAGACGTGTCGGAGGGTGACTGGGTAAAAGACGAGAGCTGTTCCTCGTTCGGGCGTTTTCCTTTTGTTTTCATTCAGATTTTTTCTGTCCGGCTTCGATGTCTCGCTTCGCCCTGTTCAAACCAAATAAAAAATTAAAACAATAAATTATGAAATAAAAAATAATAAATTATCAAATTATGAAATAATGAATTATTCATATAAAATGTAATCAAAATATACATTATAATCAAATTTGGGGAAAAAAAGAGTTTCTCCACTTATCTATATTTTTTTTTTTTTTGGGCATTCCAATTGCCCAAAATTGTTAAACCGAACCAGGCTCGTAGGCCACCGCCGGGCAGTTGAACCGCGGGCCCGATCAACGGCCGGTCCCGGTTTGACACTGGCCGGTTCCCGGACCAAACCGGCTGTGGTCATGTCTAGATGAAGCCCCAACGTCAAACGGAGTTACTAAAATTTCACAGTGTTCTTGATCGTTGAAGCCCATGCCCGTGTCAACGCATTTTAGCAAATATGAAAGTGGCCCATTGCAGGAGAGATTGCAATCAAGTAGCGGATCGGATCGTCAAAGCCCGCCGAGCTAGGCTTTTGCTTGATTACTCGGGTCTCTCATCCCCTTACTTATCTTCTAGAGTCGCTTTGCCTATGGCGGAGGAAGAAGGAAAAAAAAAAAAGAAAAAAAAAACGAAAAAAGGAAAAAAGAAAAAAATAAAAAGTAAAAAAATATTGTTCTTAATGAGTTAGGTGAGTAATGCGTATCGGGTGCATGCAACGCTACCTATCCGGAGCGCGCGCGCATTAGGTTTGGTCATGAATTTGGCGATTCACGGATGAGCTTAGGCCACATTAGCCGTAAGGGCACCGTCGGACGGGCTTAGATAAGGATTTTAGTTATAAAAAAAAAGAGTCCGGCCCAGTTGGGCTTGTGGTGGCACGGTGCATGAAATTTAGGCTGCAAAACGAATTTTCCCTCGTTCGGCGTTTTCCTTTTTGTTTTCATTCAGATTCTTTTCTGGTCCGGTTCGATTGTCTCTGTTTCTGCCGTCCTGAAGTGGGAAAGATGAAGCCCCAACGTCAAACGGAGTTACTAAAATTTCACAGTGTTCTTGATCGTTGAAGCCCATGCCCGTGTCAACGCATTTTAGCAAATATGAAAGTGGCCCATTGCAGGAGAGATTGCAATCAAGTAGCGGATCGGATCGTCAAAGCCCGCCGAGCTAGGCTTTTGCTTGATTACTCGGGTCTCTCATCCCCTTACTTATCTTCTAGAGTCGCTTTGTTCCGAAGCCCGTACTTTGTCTGCTCGGACTTTTACTTGAACGAGAATATCGCTAGCGTTTTTCCGACCCAAAAAAAAAAAGAAATTAAATTAAATTTCTTAGTGTTCTTAATGAGTTAGGTGAGTTGTGTGTATCGGGTGCATGCAACGCTACCTATCCGGAGTGCACGCGCATTAGGTTTGGTCATGAATTTGGCGATTCACGGATGAGCTTAGGCCACATTAGCCGTGAGGGCACCGTCGGACGGGCTTAGATAAGGATTTTAGTTACAAAAAAAAATAGTCCGTGCCCAGTTTTGGCCTTGTGGTGGCAACGGTGCATGAAATCTTAAAGGCTTTCGATATAATTGCTTTTTGGCCCGAAAGCAAATGCTAAATCGCTTCATTGATCACCTCTTCTTTCGCAAAACACTTCATTTTGCGACATCAAATTTAAGATTTTTTTTTTTTTTTTGGTCTTATCGGCAAAGTTTGCGGTTGTATATTTTAATTAAAAGTCATTTTGATTTCAAGCTGAAAACATGATATGGAAAATGCGAATTTAAAAGCCAAATGAACTCCAAGCACTGATTTTATTAAAAGCATATTGTGCAATCATGAGGATCAAGTGAGAGAGGTTCGGATAACCCGTGAAGGACGTGCCCACAACATCACTGTGAGTGCAACGTAGTAATTCAAATATAGGATTTTTCCACAGCAGAACCAAACGCTCAAGCACTCAACCACAACTGGGGAACTCTATTTGAATGGCATTCCAAGCATTACTAATTGAAAATTCACTTTTGCTGCACAGAAGTCTTGCGTGGGTTGCGACTTTCTTTCTTCTGCAACCTGAACTTGTAGATCTTAACAAGAAAAAGAATTCCGCAGAGAATCCAAGAGAAGAAGATCCAACAGCCGAGAAAATTAGGAGGACAACGTGTCCGTTCATCTGTGCGGTCGTCGGTTCGACTTCGAGGTGACGGTATCCGGGAGGCGGGGAGCGGTACCTCCGCCGCCCCTCGCGATATCTTTGAAAAACTGAAGAAAGAGAGCTCTCGAGGCTGATTTGGCATTAGTTTGTTTGGTTCGAACTCTACTGATGTGTGACCATCAATAATGAAGTTATGCAAAGATTGCACGAGACTGAAAGAAGTTGAGCAAATGTCGTTTTGTTTCGGCCACTCTTCCCTTCAACTACTTTAACCGCCACATCTTCCCGCCAATGTGACCTGCCTCCCTCCTCTCTCCCCTCTCTCTTTCTCTCTGTATCTCTGCGTAGAACGCGACGAACAATGTCGATGGATCTCCAACTCTCTCTCCTCTTCTCTCTCGTCCTCGTCTCCGCTGCTTGCTCGCCGTGCACGTCCTTTCCCTCGCCGCAGTCGAGCCCTGCTTCATCGCCTTCCCCTTCGACTTCTCGTCAAGGACCACTGAACGACTCTGGCGTCCATATCTCATCTCCACGGCCGACTTCTCCGAGTCCAAGCCCCCGTCCTCTCGCCCCTGCCCTGTTTGTGCTCGGCGACTCCTCCGTCGACTGTGGCACCAACAGTTTCCTCGGGACGCTCGCGAGGGCGGACCGCCTTCCTTACGGCAGAGACTTCGACACCCACAAGCCCACCGGCAGGTTCTGCAATGGACGGATCCCGGTCGACTATCTCGGTAACTTCACCTCACTTTCTTGGTTTTCTTTGATTTCTTGATGACCCTTTTTCTTGGACCCGAGGAAATTTCATCAAGCACTCAAAAGACATGGAGAGTCCCACTTTTTAAATCATTCTGTGAAGATCTCATTTTCCCCACCATTTTCAATGATCATATATCCCATCGAAATATCCGTGGAGGTTTATTTCTCATTACTCGTCGGGTCCTCGTTCTTTTTATTATCAGCTCTATATCTCGGTCTTCCGTTTGTTCCGAGTTATCTTGGACAGCGAGGACGGGTGGAAGATATGATTCATGGAGTGAACTACGCATCCGCCGGTGCCGGATTAATCTTCTCGAGCGGATCGGCGATGGTACAACTTTCATAACATCTCTCATAAAACGAAAATGGATGATATGAATTTTTGCTGATGAACCACTCATCACTAGCATAGTGACTTTGACTAACAATCCTATGAAGGGTCAACATGTCTCCTTCACTCAGCAAGTCCAGCAATTCGCAGACACACGCCAGCAGTTCATTTTGAAAATGGGAGAGGACGCTGCGGCTGATCTCATCTCGAGCTCGGTGATCTATATCTCGATCGGAATCAACGACTACATACATTACTACTTGCCTAATGTGTCCGGCGTGCAGAGCCTGTACTTACCGTGGGGTTTCAACCATTTTCTGGCATCATCCCTGAGGCAGGAAATTAAGGTTGCTATAGTGTCCCTATTCATTCAGATGCATAACCTTTGAATTTTGCTGACATTTACTTATGAGGGGAGAATTACGGTGTGTTTAAGTACTTTGGTTCAATTTTACAGGCAACCCAATTTTGTCAACAAAAGAAATGTGCTTTATTATAAGTACTATTGCTAGGTGATGAGGAGCGGGGTGTTTTGTTAAATTTGCAGGGTGTTTTAGTGTTGATTATTTTGTTGATGGATTGCCAATATGTATATGATCCTCGATGCAGAACTTGCACAACATGTATGCTAGGAAGGTTGTGGTGATGGGATTGCCGCCTATCGGTTGCGCTCCTCACTATCTGTGGCAGTACAAGAGCAAAAATGGGGAGTGTGTGGACGAGATCAACGACACAATCATGGAGTTCAATTTCGCCATGAGATTCATGGTCAAGGGGCTAGGTCAGGAACTCCCGGGCGCAAGCATCACCTTCTGCGACGTGTTTGAAGGTTCCATGGACATACTGAAGAATCACGAGCATTATGGTGGGGTTATTGTCCAGTAGCCATCTTCTCTACTTGAATGAACTATCCTGCAGTTTGAAATTCGAATTGAAGTTTTGAAACTCTGGTTCAGGTTTCAATTTTACTACCGATGCATGCTGCGGGCTAGGCAAGTACAGAGGCTGGATCATGTGTTTGTCGTCCGAAATGGCATGCGAAGATGCTTCTAGGCATATTTGGTGGGATCAGTTCCATCCAACGGCGGCGGCGAACGCAATTTTAGCGGACAATGTGTGGAACGGGCTGCACTCGAGGATGTGCTATCCGATGAACATGGAAGAGATGGTGGTTCATAGGGCCAAATGATTAGTATAGAGGTTCTACAGGCCAGACCAGCCGAATTCATCCGCAAACTTGCCTATTTTTTCTTGCACTGTTCATTTGCTATAAAAGTGATGTCTGTAGCGAATAATGAGTGAAGTATCTCATGATCAATATCGAAGTACCTGATGTTAACTTCTACATATCAATAGATTGTCCACTGAAGATCCAACAAAACTCAAAGATAGCTTCCAATATTGCTCATTCAACTCTTCTTAGGAAAGGCGTGTCATTTTTTATATCTGATCCTACCTCGAAACTAGGGAATGCAGTAGTAATGTCCCTGCGGAAGCAAATTGAAAATTTCTATGTAGAAGACACTAGGATTACGAAAGCAATGCAGATAAAATGCCATGAGCAACTAACAAGTACTCCCGTTACTCTCTTACAGATGTATGTCTAATGCCAGAGTGCAGTCTTGATTAGTATAGATGTATGCTTTGTCGAGCCTAGATAAATGAAAGAGGTCTGAAGTGATGCAAAGGGTTAAATGACCCTGGTGATCGTGAGAAGGAAAAGAGTCATTATTCAAAGTAAAAATGTGATGTTTGATGGAGGTGTGCAATATCTTGCTACTATCTGGGTAGAGTTCGAGATCGATTTTTCCGTCTCTCTTCCTATCTACTTCTTGGAATGTCTGAGCTTGAAGTAAAACCATCGCTTCACCGTTATATGACAGATAAATTCGCAATTATCTCTAGCATATTGCACATACCTTATAGATGATGGCGTCAACAGTGTCCCATGGGAGGATCAGGTCCGACTCCTTCAGAAGAGCCAAATTCAAACTCCTCCACCTTGCACGGCGAGATTTCGAAAGGTAGCGTCAGTCGTAGATATGATCAAATAGCGAAACCTTGCATGAGTTCAGCACTATAGATCTTGTCACTTGTATTAGCTACTTGATCAGACTGAGTTATCTTTTCATCATGAGACTTTTCTATGAATGGTATTTGAGGAGCTAGTCATTTATGACAGCCTCAAGAAGTTTCATTTTGCAGATGTCGTCTGCTTCGTATGTTTAGAAGTCGTTTACCTCTCTGCGTCCGATGAAGCCAGTTTGCTGTATGTCATACAATTGGAAGGAAACTGCAGCACGCGATTAACTCCTTCAAATAACGGACTTTGATGACTAGAAATGCATAGGAAGTTCATAAAAAATGGGAAACTCCATACAGAACGAACAAGTGGAAAACACTTAGAGAGCGAACAAACTCTTGAAATTCGATCACCCCACTGTGCTTCAAGTCGAACAAATGGAAGATCCGGAAAAATCTAGACCCGCTACAGAGGATGCTAAGGACGAGAAAGCATTAAAAATTCATGGTTAAGATGCTGACCCTATCTGTGAAGAGACTCTGCTTCTTTCTGCCCTTGAGTAAGCCAAGAAGAAGCTCCTCCTGTACCATCAAAACTCTGCTCAGAGATGAAAAGCCAAGTCAATCTACTCTATCTTCGTGAAGATTACCAAAAAGTCCTGCTACAGCACATGACTGAAACTCCTAATCGCTCGCTTTCTTGATTGCAAGACGTTTATATTTGTGCACGTGAAAAGAGCAGAGGGAAGGAAAGCTACAAGCTTACTTTGCTTGTGAGCCCATCATTCAATAAGCAACAGCTTGATTTCTTGAACAGAAGGTACAAAGCTTCGACTTCACCAGCATTAACTGCGAGAACAGAATCGAGAGAGTCGTTTCTTAGAAAGAACGAGTACCAACAACTTCATCTTATTCGCCGGAGTGTAACTCAACAACTACATTTGTTCAACTGGAAAACAAGAAAGGAGCGACCATAAGAGGAGAGGGGTTGATGAGAAACGGAAGCACACAGCAGGTTTGAGAGGCAAGAGCTTCAGAGTCCTCGTGTCCAAGTCCGTGCCCAGTGCAAATGCAGCCCATGAATAAAGATGGTTTTTAGAAGTACCTGGTCCCTTGTTTTGGACAGAATGTGACAGATAATCATTGGTTAAATACAGGACAAAAGTTCATTGCTCGGTATAGGGAACGAGAGAATTTATTGGAGGAGCAATCCGTTTGGTCATTCTTTATATGGATAAAGACCTAAGGAATTAATTCCACTTAAAATATCATGAATATCTTCGTTCCCTTTTCAATCAAATAGATAGAACTTCAGATTCAATGATTTATTTGCATGGACAGAATATCGTACTATCTCTCCAATTCGAGAGAGGATCAAGAAATGTCTGATGGAGGTGGAACTTGTTGAAAAAGAACAAGCGGCAAGTATGGTTCAATAACCTCTAAAGAGAGCAAAGAGTAAAAGAGGACACACAAAAAATTACTGCTGAAAAATTCTCGTACATATTATTCAACAGATCACAAGCCTATTAAATAGGCATAACATCGAAAACTACTCAGCAAGAAAATAACAACAGGATAACAATAACAAAGACCCACTAACATATCCCACTAACTAAAACGTGTAGAAACAAACCCCTACAAACTAGGACTCCACTATTACATTATTGAAGACATGTAAAACTGAAATTTGACCACTTCAACACTACTTCACGTGCTGGTGTTGTGTTTATTCAATACTCCCCCTCAACACCAGCTTCTACTCTTTTCAGCATACCGAGCTGATGACAGAAACTTTCGAACTTGTTGCTACTCAAGCTTTTTGTAAACAAATCTGCAACTTGGTTTTCTGTTTTGACATGCTCCAACTCAATTTCTTCTTGCAAGACTTTCTCTCTGATAAAATGATGATGCACCTCCACATGCTTAGTTCTTGCGTGAAAAACTGGATTCTCCGCCAAACGTATTGCCGACAAGTTGTCGCAGTACAAAGAGACACCATACTCTGTTGGTTGATGCAAGTCTTTCAATAATTGCATAAGCCAAGTGCTTTCTTGAGCTGCCATCGCTGCTGCTCGATATTCTGCTTCCGTGGTTGACAAAGACACTGTTGGTTGTCTTTTACTACACCAAGAAATTGCTCCGGACCCAAGCATGAAGACATACCCAGTAGTTGAACGCCGGGAATCATGGTCACCTGCATAGTCGGCATCACAGTAGCCAACTAGTCTGCAATCTCCACCTTTCTTGTACATAATACCATAACCAAGCGTGCTCTTTACATATCTCAAGATTCGACGAACTGATTCCAAATGAGTCTTCTTTGGATTTTGCATGTAGCGACTCATCACACCAACTGCAAAAGAAACATCCGGTCTTGTTAAAGTTAAGTAGATAAGACTACTCACCAACTGCCGATACATGGTAGCATCTTCTAAATCTTTCCCTTCATGAGCACACATTTTGGCGTTTGGCTCCATCGGTGTCGAAATTGGCTTGCATCTAAGCATTGCAAATTTCTTCAACAAATCTTTGGAATACTTTTGCTGATGGAGAAATATTCCTTCCTGAGTATAGTCGACCTCTAAATCAAGAAAATGTTTGAGCTGTCCAAGTTCTTTCATCTGAAAACGAACCGACAAATTCTCCTTGGTTTGGAGAATTTCTTCTTCCCAATCTCCTGTGATGATTAAATCATCCACATACACCAGCAAAATAGCTAGCTTCCCTCCTTTAGCTTTGACAAACAAACTAGAATCCGCAGATGTCACCGAATAACCACTATGAGTAAGAAATTCAGCAATCTTACCATACTAAGCCCTCGGTGCTTGTTTTAGCCCATAGAGAGCCTTCCGGAGCTTACACACATACTCAGGATGATCTTGATTCTGAAAGCCCATTGGTTGGCTCATGTAGATCTCCCGATCTAGCTCCCCATGCAAAAATGCATTTTTCACGTCCATTTGCCACAAGTTCCAACTTTTGCTTGCTGCAAGTGCCAGTAGGACTCGTACAATTGTAAACTTCGCAACTGGACTAAACGTTTCATCATAGTCTAGTCCAAATTGTTGAGAGAACCCTCGAGCTACCAGACGAGCTTTGTGCCTCTCTATTGATCCATCTGTGCGGCGCTTTATCTTGTACACCCATTTGCAAGAAATAGGCTTCACATCTCTTGGCTTTGGTATGAGCTCCCAAGTCTGATTTCGCTCTAATGCAGCAATTTCCTTTTCCATAGCCTTAATCCATTCCGAACTCTGAGACGCTTCCTCAAATGTCTCAGGCTCTTTTGCATCTGCCTCTTCTACTATGGCGGCATTAGTATACTTAGGATTTGGCTTTCGGGCTCTTGTTGACCTTCTAAGTGCAGTTGGTGTACTTGCTCCACTTGGCTCATCTTCTTCGCTTGGCCTTTGGTATACACCTGTTTGCCAAGGATTTTGAGCTATGCCTTCTTCAACATCTACATCGTCGTCTGTAACCTCTGTTTCACTTGAACTCAACTGGAATTGAGAAATTTCTAACATTTCCTTAAAAACATCCGAGTCCGGTAGTACTTCCTTGTTCGAGGACCACCATAAGGAAGCTTCATCAAACACCACATTCCGAGATGTGTAGCATTTCCCGGTTGTTGGATCGCAACATCGCCACCCTTTTCTTTGACTGTCGTATCCTACAAAGATACACCTAACATCCTTTTTCTCCATCTTGCTACGTAACTGGTCAGGTACAAATACATAGCACACGCATCCAAAAACTCGAAAATGACCAACAGCAGGCTTCATGTTCCATATTTTTTCAAAAGGTGAACGAAAGCATAACCTTTGTTGAGGAAGCCTATTGGTCACGAAGGCCGCAGTCTTCATCGCTTCCGCCCAAAACCGTCCCGGAACATTCTTTGAATGAAGCATACTTCGACATACTTCTGCCAGATGCCTGTTTTTCCTTTTTGACACCACGTTTTGCTGCGGAGTGCTAGCACATGTGAACTGATGGCGTATTCCGCACTCCTGAAGGAAATCTGTGAACTCATTTGAGATGTACTCTCCCCCATTGTCGGTGTGTAGACAACGGACTCTTTTACCAACCTCCGCTTCCGCTACCTTCTTGAACTCTGTGAATTTTGAAAGAGTTTCAGATTTTTCCTTCATAAAGTAAATCCACACGTACCTCGAGAAGTCATCAATGAAGATCACCATATACTTCATCCCACCAACGGAGGCTTGCTTAATTGGTCCAAACACATCAGAGTGTATCAACTCTAATGGTTCCTTCGCTTTAAATTTGGACTCTTCATACGGCAACTGGTGCGCTTTTCCATACTGACAGCCTGCACATACAGTGTCTATTCTCACTTCAAGTTGTGGAAGTCCCTTCAACATCGACTTCTTCATCATCACATCTAGCTTGGAATAGCTAACTTGACTTAGCCGCATGTGCCATAAGTTTGCCGTCTCATTCCTTCTCATCTTGTCTACATATGCGGTTTCCGCAGACATCACGTAGACAGACTCCGTTCTTCGTCCCTTCATTACCGGTTCTTCTGTTATCTCAAGGTCTCGATATATCTTCACATCTTGTGGACCAAACAGAACAAAATGGCCAGAAGATGTTAATTGTGCTACCGAGAGAAGATTTTTTTTCATACTTGGAACATGATAGACGTTTTGGAGTGGCACCTCGGCATCGCTACATTGGGGAGAGACGGCCGTATTACCGATGTGGGCTATCGGTAACTTTGAGTTATTCGCCGTCACCACCACCTGACTTCCCTTGTACTTCGACAAGTTCTGCAACTTTTCTTTATCACTGGTCATATGGTTTGAGCAGCCCAAGTCAACGATCCAATCATTCTCATAATCGATTTGATTGAATGTTGTTGCTGTAAGGGCTAGCTCCTCCTTATCTACAGCAAAGAAAGCCTCAGCATCCCATTCGTCTTCGTTTTTTGAAGTAGCAGCGTTACTCTCGATGGCCTTCTTTTTTGACCAGCAATCTTTCGCCATATGACCTTTCTTATTGCAGTTGTAGCACTTCCCTTCAAACTTTTGGCCATTGCCATGGTTCTTAGAACCTTTCCATGCACGAACGCTCCCTTCATCTTGATGACTTCTCGCCTTGTCGTCGTTCTTTTTGGATCCACCGTAGGCATGCCGCTTGGAATTCCACTTGCCTTTGTTGGCATAGAGTGCCTCTTCTTCATTCTTCAACAAGACTCCTCCCATTTGCTTAGCTAATGCTTCTTGACCAGCTAGCAAATTTTCGAATTCGACAAGCGACGGCTGAGTTTGCCATCCTTGTATGGCAGCAACAAAACTCCTGAATTCTGGCTTCAAACCATGGATGATGATCCGCTTCATCCTAGTATCGCCAATCGGAGCCTCCGGATCCAATTCAGTAATCTCTCGGCATAACGTCTTCACTTTGTGGAAGTACTGAGCGACCGTCATGTCGCGTTGCGCCATCGACAACAACTCACTTTCTAAGAGTTGGAGCTTCGTATCGTTCTTCTTAGAGAACAGCTTGGCGAACGTATCCCAAGCTTCTTTGGGAGTTTCCGCATCTCGGATATGCTCCAGCACATCCTCTTCAACTGTCGTCTTCAAAACGAACATGGCTTTGCCCGCTTTAATCTTCCACTTCCGCAATGTCCCATTCGCATCTTCAGCCTCCGATTGTCTCACATCGTTTCCATTGACAACCTCCCACAAATCCTGGCCCTGCATATAAGACATCATGCAGGTAGACCAAGAATTGTAGTTTTTGTTGCTGAGCTTCTTGATTCCGCCAACGACTTGAAGATCACCCATCTTGGCAATAGAGATGCTCACAAAATACCCAGAACCTGGCTCTGATACCAGATTGTTGAAAAAGAACAAGCGGCAAGTATGGTTCAATAACCTCTAAAGAGAGCAAAGAGTAGACGAGGACACACACAAAAAATTGCTGCTGAAAAACTCTCGTACATATTATTCAACAGATCACAAGCCTATTAAATAGGCATAACATCGAAAACTACTCAGCAAGAAAATAACAACAGGATAACAATAACAAAGACCCACTAACATATCCCACTAACTAAAACGTGTAGAAACAAACCCCTACAAACTAGGACTCCACTACTACATTATTGAAGACATGTAAAACTGAAATTCGACCACTTCAACACTACTTCACGTGCTGGTGTTGTGTTTACTCAATGGAACTAATGTGATGGGCTATATGTTAGGATGTTGGAACTAAATTGGCTAGAGCATGAACTTGGCTATAGGGTGTGTCGTGCGCAATGATTTATTGCAAAAGCTTAAGCAACCGAGCTATTGTAATACGGTGGGACTGTGCATGTGCAGTAGCTAAGATAATAAGAATGAGAAATGCTAAATATACTAAGGGTGCGCATGGCAACGATTCTATACCTGGGAACTGATTCTGCTCAGAAATGATTATTTTTTATTTCGTGTCCGGGAACAATTTCTAAGCATTTGAAGGCGTTTGGTAACTGCCCAAAATTTCTATTCTTAGAATAGAAAAAAAACAAAAATGCGTTTACTAACTACATAAAATTTCTTTTTATTAATAATATTTTGAATTTTTTAATATTTCTTTCTTCTTTTTTTTTTCCTTCCCTTCCTTGGCCATGGCCAGTCGCCGGCGTCGGCGACCGGCCACAGGCCAGGGTCGGCGAGGGCGTCGCGGCCCTCGCCACTGGCCTCACCGTCGCGGCCGCGAGCTGCCCTCGCCTAGGCGGCAAGGGGGGCCGGCGAGGGCTGCGACGCCCTCGCCGGCCCTGGCCTGTGACCGGCGGCAGGGCGGGAAGAAGAAGAACAACAAACCAAGAAAAAAAAAACTAAAAAGAATCAGAAATGGAAAAATTGTTTCAGAATCAAGAAGCAAGTTGCTTCTTGATTCTGTTCCAAAATTGATTGTAAGAACAATTTTTTGCAAATTTGTGCCTGACTACAAAAAATTTAATAAACGGTTTTCTTGTTCCCAAACTGATTCTGGGAACAAAAGAACAGAAATTTTCACTGTTTGGCAAGTTGCCAAACGGACCCTAAGACCGGCTTATAATTTTTTTTTTTCAAAAGGGTGCTAGGTTTCACATGGACCATGAGGTCCAAGACCTGGGCCGGATCGCCAAGGACCTAGGTTCGTTGTCACGACTCATCCATTAGTGTCTTTAAGTCTAGCCGCCGACGTCCCGTATCTAGCCCTCGACGACCCGGTTTTGGATGGCATATATAGTCAATGAGGATGTTCCGATCAACGATAGTCGGGGACCTGGAAGTGATTCCAGAAACTGGATGTTGATTTTTAAAATTGTGAAATGTTTCCCGCAATATGATGAACTTAAAGATAACTTTTAACCTCTAAGACTTGATTTAGTGTGGGAGAATTACCAAAAAAGTTATAAACATATTGCAATTGTGACAATTTAATTCTAAATCTTTGTTTTTAGTCAATTGAGTCCCAAACCTTTTGCATTTGTGCCTATTCCGTCCATCCAGCTAATTTTGGTTAGAAATCGCTAACATGGACGCCGGTTATCTTACGTGGTGTGGCCGGCGTTGACGTTGACAATTTTTTAATATTTATTCTTTTCTTTTTATTTATTTATTCTTTTTATTTTTTTTCTTTTCTTTCTCTTTCTTTTTTTTTCCTTCCTTCTTCCTCGGGCCGATCGCTGGCCCTCCGAGAGGAACTCAAAATATTTCTACATCAAAGAAGTTACTACTGGTGTAGAAATATAGCCACCCTTTTTGAAGTTCACAGTGAGCATTGTGCAACCAATCTCTTCCTGATATGATGCACACAAATAACGATTGTAACCGGGTCATTTACTCAACACTTGTATTCCAGCTCAATAAACAGATTAACAAGTTAGGTTTACTCTCAACGAGTGTGTTTACTTGGATGTCAATCTAATTCCATCTGAGTTGGTCATACATCAGAAACACCGATTGAATCTTGGGAGAAATTAGCCGCAAGATTTCTAGCTGCACGATGATTTCATCCGACACTCGGTGCTTGGCAGAGCCAGAGTTCTGTGCATTTTTCAATTATCTTCTCTGTGCTGCACCCAGTGCACCGAGAGAGTTAAATGGCTCATGGTACCGGATCACTCTTTCTTGGTATGACCGGCCTTGATCGGAAATGGAGTCTTGCACCAATACCTTTCTGCTTAATCCTGAACTTCAGTGTTCATCACAAAACTTGGAAATGCTAAGGTTATCTCCCTGAAAAGTAGAAACTGTAATCAGAAATTGGCAGCTTTGGGATTGCGGATCGCGTCATTCGACAATGCAATTCAACATTGTTTGTGGAGATAATGACCAAATAAGAACTTTAGTGCGATCATGGCATGCAATATCTACAGGTGTACACAAACTAAGTACCCACTTTAGATATGGAAGAGTCATGTTTTTCATGAGGGAAGGTTTCTTCGTCACGAACTCTCTCCACTCCTCTTGATCGATCTTCCCGTCTTCTTTTGTATCCGCCTCTGTGATTGTCTGTCAAGACAAGGCGAACAAGAGCGTGAACAACAGAACATGACTGCTTCGTACAATTTGAGAACAGAATCCAGCAGATTCGTCCCATACCTTACAAACAATTGTGTCTATGCACTCATTGGAAAGTGTCAGATCTGATTCACTGAGAAGAGCCAGTACCATCTCCTTCAACTTTTGGATTAGGATATAGCCGATGGATGTTGGGAAGATTAAATAACAAGATGTCAGAACTTGACAGTCAGAGGAAAAGCAGGCCAGTTGTAGCAGTTTGCAGTTAAACTTGACCAAATAGGCAATCATGCAATGCAAGTTAGAGAAGCTAGTGCACGATTAACTTGGGTGGCCGAAAGATGGTTGGATGACTGGCATGTTGGGTCAAATAACTACCATCACTTGCTCATACCTATGATTTGATGATTACGCCAGTTGAAAAACAAAATGTAAAACGATCTCTGGTAAATCAAGATCATATTCAAGGTCATAACAACAACTTCTCTTTCTTTTTCTCTACCTTTATTTCTAAAGACAGTGTAATATCTTTTTAAACAAGATTTCCACTCCTAAATTGCAAAATTAGATTTTCTGAGAAAAGAGGTCCAAACAGCAAGAAAAAGAATTTTGTTGCATGTTTTACTGTAAGAAGCTTGTCAGAACCGCTCATGTATTTACAGAACTATTCACATACTGTAGAGGCAGAAGCATTAGAGTACTGCTCATGTATTTACCTCCTCTTGCTCAATGTAACCAGTCTGCCTTAAATCATATAATCTAAAAGCAACTGCGAAAAAAAAATGTCATCCAAGTCAGATAAAATCCTTATCGATCTTGAAGTGCAGTTGCAGAAATTGCATTCTTGTATGCTTTAGTTCACTTCCAAACAACCAAAAAAATCAGTAAGAAAGGGAGATTCTTAATCAGATCATACAGTCAATTTTGTCTGCTTCAGGAGCATTTGGGTGGAAGACACTTAATGACCGGACAAATTCTCCAAATTCTATCATCCCGCTACGGTTCACATCAAATAGATCAAATACCTGCAGTTAAGTTTCCGGCCAAGGTTATTAAAGAATAAAGGGGCATGCTTGGTGAAATTTTAGACAGCGTGCAACTAGAAAAAAATAGTACAGCAGTAATTAATATTGACAAGCCCAAATACTGCAACATATAGCTGAGGCCGAAGGATTCTTATCTGCAGATCTATGCATGATAAGTCTGAAATTTAAAATTGATGGACAAATTCCAACAGGAATTCCACTTTGATTTCACATGTCGAGCGCCTAGAAGAAGCTAAACAGGTATATCCACTGAAGAATGAATTTACAGATAGAAATTATGTTCCTAAAGGAAAAAAATTACGAAAAAGATAAGCATATGCACTCACCCTATCTGCAAAAAGATTCTGCCTGTTACTGTTTCTGAATAGTGCAAGCTGAAACTCTTCCTGTTCAAGCAAATAGATGGGAAGTAAATCTATGTGATGTATAGGAATTAGAAACCTAGTCAAAGGGGAGTGCTTCTATCTTATAGACCAAAGCATGAATTCCTGATACAGTCTAGATTAGCAAGAGGATACCTTGTGAATAAGACCATCGTCAATTATGGTACTGCTTAGTTTCTTGAAAAGGTCATACAAAGCCTCCACTTCATTCACAGTAACTGCCCAATCGATCATAATGTGAAGATTATGACACGTCTTTCACAAATAAGAAAAAAATACTCCAGAGAAAAGTTGTTGAAAGTGTAGATCAGTCCATCAGCTTATATGAGCTAATTGGAGCAACAATATCATGTCCCTGTTGATGACAGTACATAGAAATCTAAACTGCAGTTGTGTGATGAGGGCATAAGCAGATTTGCTAACAAGTAAGATGAACATAGGCAGCTATTATGTTGCAAATTGAATATCCATCCATAAGATCAGTGTACTAATTCCATCAGACTTAAGACGTCCATGCTACATTGAAAGTGCAAGGTGTCTAGACTTGCTAACCTGTTTATATTATGTGTCACCTAAAAGGGGGAACGAGTGACTGAAACTGTTACCTATTTGAATTCCTACTTACAAGGTGTCTCCGAAGCAAGAATGATTGGATCGTCATAACCAGCTTTTGGTTGACCTTTCCTCATGCAAAAGCAGCCGAAGAGCGACTGCATAACTTCAGGTAGAGTTGTGCCTGTTGACAATAGCAGAAAGGAGGACTTGAAAACTTTGATGGTTAATAGACTAGGAACTTAGGCATGCATGTTTTGAAGTCAAGCATCTCTCACAGACAGTACTTCCTAGGTTTCATGCTTGTGCCCAGTTCACATCTCTCTTAATCTAATCTCAGTTCAAGGGGGCATAGTTCAATATGATTCCTGACGGAATGGATTTCGGAAATTAAGTTTCAGAAAGTTCAAATGAGCAAGGCTTGCAACAGGGCAGGGCTTGTGCGAAGTCGTAACAAAGAAGGACTCGAAGGGGATATCTTTTGGCATTGCAAGTGTATAAATATACAAGGGATGATCAGAGTACTTTGGGTGAAAACCATGATCTTGGCGACCAGTGATTCAGAATTAGCATCTTATTTAATTAGCAACAGTATCTGGGACCTCTTATCTAAGCTGCTGTAGCCGGGGCCATCCTTAATTGTACTTCCAAAGTCGGAGACAGTTACGACCCTCGTTATACTGAAATTTGACATGGTTTCCAGAATTAGATGATTGGAAACATATGAAACTGCTGTGGAACAAGTATGAACTCAGATGATTCTCTCTCTCTCTCTCCCTCAGTTAATGATAATTCTGGAACTCGCTGCTGTGCCTGTGAACTACGGAAGACCGGTAGAGACGGGTTTTTCTATAGTCCCATCATAATCATTACCTGATGTGCTTCAAAAGTTACCATTACTGATTCAATGGTACAAAGTTACCCAGACTACTGAACCGTGGTGAGATGTTACTTTTATATAGACGAAATCACTATCAGGGAATACTATCCCGGGTTTTTCCAACAACGCGACTGGAGACGGACCCCCCAGGACACCAATCTAGCACCACGATGACACCAATTACTAGTGATACATCAGCATGATGCCGCCATTTGCAAAAAAGGCAACAGTTTCTCCGAATCCCTCATTTGGAAATAAATTAAAAGCATCTTACAGTAATTAAATCTCCTAAGTTTTAAAAGCCTGATCGACTCTGGCAACTTTAAGTCTTGACTACTTCGGCTAAACTGCCAAAGAAAAGGTGGGATATAGAACTTTGATACCAAAGCTTAGTGGCTATAAGTCCCTCTCCGTCTCTGCATACGATCTCTAATTCCTCATGTGTACACTGTACAAAAGTGCTGTCGATTGAGTCTACAGCTTGCCAAAGCACTTGCAGCAGGAAAAGGGGCCATAATAGAAGGAGCCATGTATTTCCAAACCAAAGAAAAGAAGACTGCACACTAATAAGGAAACAGAGATTATGCGCTCTTCACCAACTCATAAAGCTGTAGGACCCATCCGATCCGAGACGAGTAGGCATTGGGCAACGCCTTTTCACTGTTCGATTCTCTCGATGCATCATAAAACCCAAGAAGGGAATGCTTTAAAAACCCAAAGAAAGCCCAAGAAAGAAGTAAAAAAAAGAAGAAGAAGGGAGAAGCAACAGATTGGAGCAGATCAAGCAAACATCGCCAAGACTCTGTTTTTTCGTGACAGCAGCACGATTAAGTCGATCACGATTCATGAGCAGCGGTAACAGTGACCTGGGTTCGGAGCTTTCTCGTCTCTTCCTTCTTCCTTCCTCTTCTTTCTTCTTTCTTCTTCTTCTCCGTCTCGGCCGTGCGTTGAGTTGCTGGGATTGAACGGCAGTTGTATTGCTGTGTTGCAATCTCTTTCGCAAGTCATGCATTCTTATTTTTTATAAACGACGCGACCTGCGAAATTCAACGTTCCTGTTCTTTGTCTAATTTTTTAAAAAGTCCTCTCCTTTTTTTTTTCTTTTTCTTTTTTTTTGATCTGGAAAAGCTGGTCGTTGGGTTGCAGTTGCGTACGAGACCGCATGCATCGTGCGGGGGAAGATCCAATCAGACGTTGGATCTGCAAAGTGTCGCTCTGTCACCGTCGGTACATGGGCCCACCCATTTCTGACGTGGCATACTCGGGTGTATAAAAAAGACTTTTTTTTTTATTATTGTTAGAGCGCCGAAGAAAGAGCCGGCACAAACAATTGCACTTTCAAAACATGGTCCATCGCACGCCATAAAAATGACAACATGCGCATTGGAAGTAACAGTCCAACGACGGACATTCCATAAACCTCAAAATAATCGAATGCGGAAAATATATGGGTAGACAACCCCTTAATTTGAGAACCGGTCCACCGAGTGAGAGAGAACACGACAAAAATCTCCAATCTAATGGGAATCGTTCTTTTTTGGCGGTGAGCAACTAAGCCGGTTCAACTTGAGAATTGATACAGTTTCCGATGCCGAAACTGGGAACCGGTATCGACCAGTTTGGTTACTGGTTCTCAGTTCTATACCCTAAACCAGCTGGTTGAATTGATTCTATGAGCTATTGCATGTATTTTAGCCTTAATCGTGTTGTGACGAGCATGCAAGTTGACCTAAGCCCTATTTATTGAGTACTAGGGCGTTAACCTCTTTTTTTTTTTCGTCGAAGGCATGAGCCTTTTTTTTATCCGGGTCGAATCGATATATTTGTATATATGTTTGTATATAATTAAGAGTTAAGTACAATTATAGTCCATTAATTTTTCTTATTTGTGCAATTTAGTCCTCTAAATCTGAGATTTTTCAAGTCGATTGAAAAGAATGGACTATAAAGGGGGGGTTCTGAATCCGTCCCACCACCGCCCATGGCCACCGATGAATGTAACCACCGGAGATAGCCGCCGGTGAGTATCTTTGCAAGCTAGAAATCCAGGTGAGACTCGACAGTTGATGAGGAATGCTTTGTAATGTTATATATGGACCCCGTATTGTTGGAACTAGCGGATGAACTTTCTTTTTCAGTTGACAAAGCACCGAAAGAGGCAATTGCACTCTTTCATGGCACATGATGTCATTGCACTCCCCTAAAGTTACCAATACCTAGTATTTTCTCTGTATTTCAAACCCTTTAGTTTACCGATAAAATGGTCGTAATTTTAGTTCCTTTTTTTTTTCCTCGTACTACCAAAAATAGGAGTGTGCCACATAAATCCAACAAGAACACATCTCCATCCTAAGAAAAGTCGACTCCTTTTGGTTCGAATGCTTAAGCTGGTGATCTTTGGAGTTTCCAAATCATCTAATTTATTTGTAATTGTGTTCGTTTTGATTTTAGTAATTCAGAAAGTTTTGAGCACAAGCTGAAGGGCATAATTCATTCTAATTAGATCATACTAAAAAAGATATCAGACCGAAAGATGTGGTTTGGTAAGATTGTCGGTATCCACGGGATCGATACCAATTACCACATTGACATCAACCTAACTTAATGATCTGACCTCCATTATCGGCTTAGGCGAGTTGGATACTTATGTCATATTGATGAAAGCAAAGCATATTATACTTTTCATTAAGGATTTTGAAGTAGCTCTTGAATCATCTCATTCGTCTCTCCATCCTGTGACTAGAGGTGAGCGGTTCCAGGTTCCTTACAGGTTCCACCTGAAACCTAAAATCTACTATCGGGTACATGTTCCTTATTTTTTGGAACCTAGAACATATCTCGTCACAGGTTCCAAGGTCTAACATGTTATTTTTTTTATTTCATTTTTAGTTAAACAAAATGAAAATAAATGCCATAATACTGAACAAGCTTGTCATTCACCAAAGAGAATACAAAAGACTAGTTTTCCTAGCATTACAGTTCAAATAAATACAATTAAAATAAGAAGTCATTGCGTGAATCGATAATAGGGATGAGTGAGTGATTTCATGTTCCGTACAGGTACCACCTAGAATCTACCCATGAGAATATGTTCCTCATTTTTTGGAATTTGGAACCTACCCCATCACAAGTTCCAGGTTAGTGTCAAGGTCTACTCAGGTTCCATCTGTATTATTAATTGAACAATTACAATAAATCATCACCTTTAATGACCATAACTTGCTACTATGATCCACTGATCACAACTTATATTTAGATACACGAAAAATATGAAACGTTAACAAGTCATAAAATGAAAGCTCAGACTGGTGATTTCAGATTATACACTCATCATCTAATGCCTTGAAACACCACAGGATCACGTGAAGACATAAACAAAAAAAAACACAAAAAACTCGTTTGGGTTCCAGGTTCCATGTTCCACCTACTTAGACCTTGGAACCTACCCTTCAAGACAAGTTCTCCAATTTTTAGAACTTGAAACTTATGCTACATACCTTGAAACCTGGAACCTACAGGTTCCCATCGGTCAGGTTCTCAAGTTTCAGGGTAGAATCTGGAACTATGCTCACCCCTACCTGTGACAATAGCAGCAGCATGCCACTTTGATTTTTAGGAAGTTGCTAAGAAGCTTCCCTTATTTACTTTTTTTTTAACTCCAATTGCCAAATGATTCCTCAACGGTGGATGTGTGTTTGCAGCAAAAATTAATTAGATCGTCGATATGAATAAGCACTCGATTAGAGTATAAAGTATAAAGCACGTGACCCTTTGTCTAATGACTGCGAGAAATATTGTTGATATTAATACACATCGATGATCATTATTGACCCATTGTCGACAGACGACGAGAGTGGTTAGCGATCGCCAACAAAGGTATCGATCAACAATGTCGATAGATTATTGATTAAAGCATCAGGAGAAAGTTAAACGTGTAAACGGCATCCGGATGCAATTACAAGATAAAAGTCGTTGAAGAAGAGAGTGATGGAGGTCATGGAGCAACTAAGGCTCAATTTAAAAAGGAACAACTGTAGGAAGACAAGATTATGGCATTGTGAGAGTATAGGCTCAAACTTTCGGAGAAGAGGGAACATGGCTACAACCATAGGAGAACTGCTCCGAGACTATTATAGTACAACCATTGTAAATATTATTGTTCGTCCATTGGAAATGCCCCCGCATACAAACAGACAAATTTACTCTCTTTCAATTATTTTTACTTTCTTACGTTGTACTTTCAATTTCCACACTTGCGTTGTCAATTAAAGTCAATCGTATTTCTTAGCTGCAGTTTCCACATTCGCGTTGTCGATTGAATTTCGGCATGTACCTTTATTCTGGGTGTTGCGTTGTCGATTGAATTATAGCATAACATCTTTGTGTTCTCAAGCTTTATCATCGATTAAATTCCGGCATCATTTGTTCACATTCGGTTCTGTCGAAGTGGTTGCATTTTCCAAGTTTTATCTTCGATTAAATTCTAGCACGGTTTGTTTTGTACAATTCTATTTAAAGTGAAGTTATCGTTGTTTCTTGTCTACCCGTGATACTTCCTATTAGGAGTCGTCACCGAACCCGTTTCCTTTAATAAAAAAAATCAAAGAACGACTTTCAGTGAAAGGTATTTCGTCGCAGGATCAATTCTGATGAAATAGTTTGTTTCAGGGAAAATTTCGAGAGAAACAAATTTTTTTTCCAAGAAATCATTTTTCAAAAATAATATTTTCCCCTTTTCGAGATAGGGATTCATTTTCCTATCTTTAAGTATCGCATATTTTCATTGACCATGAATGATTTTCCGTTGAGAAATCATTTTCAACAAACCGAACATGTGAAATGCCAGAAAATTAATTTATGAAAGATTCTTTCACTTAAACAAACACACCTACTTATGAATTGTTCTCACTACAATATTATTACAAGATTCATTTCCGCTCCCGAAGAGATTAATTTGCCAACGGTCGTAAATAAGTATCCTTTACTATCAAATGGTCGCTCGAGCACCCTGAATTGTCGCTTGGACCAGCCTCTTCTGCTATAGGGTAATGTAGAAAGTAATTCTTCGCCTGTCTCCATTTCTTGCGTCGATGATCCATCTTTTGACCAGATTGACAAGTGAAAAGTAATCTCAAATTAGTGTTAAAAGAGCTGACCTAGGAAACAAAGATAGGTGGAGAGAGACGGTAACTTGGCCAAAGGCCTAGGATAGTCCTGGCACCATGGAACGAAAAACCGCCGATAACGCCAGGTGGGTCTGGTCCCGGACTAGCTGTACCCACCGTTTTCTTTTTCAGGGTCAATATCAGAAATGCAGATCATCGGATGATAAATCCCAATAAAAGTCACGGCAAAAATCAAACCGAATCGAGCCGAACTAGCTTCTACCGAGGGTCATTACTCATTTATGTATTTGCTATTATATTTTTCAATTTGTCCGTCAATTAAGAGTAGAAACGAGAATGCATTGTTGCACGGGATTATCAAGATTTAGTCTTCGATTCATATTCTATCAACCATTTGCGGGTAATATTTGGGGGCATGATTATTTTGCTATCGTTGGGCTTCACATGTATATATGTACGCAACCTATCATGTCGATGTCCACCTTCGACATTGTATTTCAAGTTCGAATTCACTTGTAGTAATAGTGCATGTTTCTTGTTTGTGGTCGATGGGTTTTGGACTTCCAACATCTCGATGGAGCTAGTTTGGCAGGATTTGTCTCGTTTATAAAAATGGGTGGTGAGTAATTTTGAGTGAACATCTTCCCACGATTTTAGACCTTATGCCGAAAGAGTAGCCACTAACCACGTTAATGATCGCCCCTCGCCCTTTTCAAAATTAAAGAAAACTGGCTCTATACATAATGTCATACTTCAAAAGTCTTGAGAAAGAATGCGTTCTTCATAAAGTTGGGTTAGTCGAGTTTGAAAGCATAATAGATTTTTTCCTATTTTGGTTCAAACAAACATTATGTCTCGAACTCGATTATAATGATAACCTCGATATAGAGAAATTTCTTTTGTAATTCGATAGAGAGAGTCAACAACTTCGGCAA